CTTTCTTGAAAGGATATTCTTCATGGCCCAAATTAAGGCTTTCATCTCCGAGTGAAGGGGGAGGGGCATCTCCGGAGGCACTTTGCACCTAGCAATATTGTTTGATCATTTCCTTGAAAACACCACCATCCTATACCCATAGTTGGATCCGAAGATTTCCAAGAGCCGTCAATCCGGCATCTTAAGGATTGGATTGGGCTTTCCAGTATTTCCGTAGTTATAGTAGTTTCCATCGGTTCCAACTAAGCATCTTCCCACATTGATTTCTCACTCAATGCGTGATTTAAAATATATGTGGGTTCAGATTGTATTCCTTTAAAAACCTTTTTATTTCTATCTTTCCATATAAACCACAATATTCAAGCAAAACAGTTGTTTCTGTCTCTCCCATCTCGAGGAAGTGGTATATTAGTGACTATTTTTTATAAGAAAATAGAGTGTTTTGTACAAAAAAAGAGAAATTTTTTTTTTAGACCTTTGGACCTTGTGTCCTAGGACTCCTAACACATGTGTTAAGCCGGCATGCAGACTAATACGTACTTTCAAAATATTTGATATATATATATATATATATATAGATATTTAATTTTATGTGAAAATTAATTACAAAATTATATATATATATATATATATATATATACTCTTACATAATTTTTCTTTTTGGGATTTATTAATATTATGAGAAATAAATTATATGTATTGATGAATTACAAATTTTATCACAAATTTATATTTTCATAACCCCTACCAAAAAAAAAATCTCTATTTTCATAACGATTAATATATATATATATATAATATTTTGATAAAATTATATAATAAATAAATAAATATTACTCGAGGCTAAATGTTTGTCTACACATATATATTTTCTAACCCTAATTTAGAGCCGTACATACATCAACCACCATTATCTTCTTCGTTCTATTCTTTCATTTTCTACGAACAACCAAAATTAGTAAAGACATGGAGAAAGAGAGAGATTGGTTGCACATGCAAACAAGAAGCCTTTCGTCACCATTCGTGGTTTAAGCGGCGGGTTGTCTTCATATGCTGCCACGTGTCACAATTTCTGACTTCAAAGCAATCCTCTTTATCTCTCGTCCACCAATAACTACGTTTTACTTCTTCTTTTTGTTCTTTTCTTCGTCAAACAATTGAAACCATAAATATCTAGTAGTACTATATATAACTCGTATCTAGTACAAACTCAACATTTTGGAAAGAAAAACTAAAGTAGTTTAACATATTTTTGTCTATGATTTGAAAAACCTATACATCAAATACAAAACTTTTAGGTTAAGATATAGAAGAGCAGTACATAAATAGACCTATGCATACAAACTTATAAACTTATAATCTCAAAATAAATGTTTTTTTTATGTGGTAAAACTCATTATATATATATATTTATACAATTTGTTTCTTCCCGTTGACTACTTATATAGCTACACGTAAACCCGTTCGTGAGCTTTGTGCCTTTGCATATGCCTCTGCACTTATCTTAGGCTTTAGTTTTGTCCAATTACAGGCAGCCACGACTATGTTTCGTATATTTTTTCTCTTCCCTTATGTCATTCATTAGTTGCATTAAAAATAATATCGTAATATCATTGCTTTAATGCTTGTCTTCTTTGGTGTTTTTGCCAAAACTTCTTCGTTATACAGTAAAACCTCTATAAATTAATATTCTATAAATTAATAACTTCTCTAAATTAATAAATTTTTCCGGTTCCGAGTTGGGACAAGTGTAAAATATGACATAAATCGATAAATTAATAAGATAATAATTTTTTTGAATACCTCATATAAACATATGGTCCCATCGATATCATAAATTAATAATTGTATAAACTTATCTATATAAATTTATATATGTCATATTTGAATTACTATGATATATATTTAAAATATTCTATGTAAAAAAATTAATAAAATATGACTCTATTATTCGAAAAAAGTTTGTGTTGTTTTTTTTTAACTTAATAATTACTTCTCTACTTGTAATTAGGTTTTAAAAGATATTACTTATAAAGAAAAAAATTATTTTTAGATAGAAATGTTTTTAAGAAATTACAAAATTAGTAAAATCTCTCTATAAATTAATAATTATTAATTTATCGATAAATTAATACCTATCTAAATTAATAAAATTTGCTAGTCCCAACATTATTAATTTATAGAGGTTTTACTGTATATATATATGGTGTATACATAAACAGTGCCGGCTCAACAGTATTATAGGCCCTAGGTCAAAAAAAAATTTTAGGCTCTTAGAATTTTTTTTTTTTTTTGTGTTTTTTGTGTTATATAAAAAAATTGTATGATATTTTTATTAAAAGGTTAATTATTAAAACTAAAAATAATAATAAAAAAATTTATGGACCCTTCTAAATTTTATTTTTATATTGTAATTTAAAATTTTAATACTTTTATAAAAAAAAAATTAAAATGGGCCCCTTAATTATTGGAGCACGGGATTGGACCCCTGGCCGTCGCACCGCTCGCCCCCTATTTGAGCCGGCACTGTACATAAATATGTGAAATATATTTTAGGGAGACTCACAAAAATGCCCCTTTTTCAATACTCCTTTTCAAAAATGTCCCCTTTGGCTGTCCATTTTTAAAAATACCCCTTTTTATGTACAAAATGACTAAATTACCCTTCTTTTAATAAAAGATATCACAAATATATAAGGAAATATAACAAAATTAGGTCCACAAAATACAAAATATTTTTTGGCGGGAAAAGTGATCCCGCAATTTTTCTCGCCAAAACACTTGTAAAAACTTGTAAAACCTTTAAAATACCTTGTAAAATTTTCCCGTAAAATTTTTTCCCGCCAAAAAATTTTTTTTACGGGAAAAGTGATTCCGCAATTTTTTTGGCGTTAAATTTTTGGCGGAAAATTTTTGGCGGGAAAAATTTACAAGGTATTTTAAAGGTTTTTTACAGGGTATTTATAAGGTTTTACAATGTATTTTAAAAGGTTTTACAACGTATTTATAAGGTCTTTATAAGATATTCTAAGATTTTACAAGCTATTTTATAAAGTTTTACAAGTTATAAGGTTTTACAAGTTTTTTATAAGGTTTTACAAGTTATATATACCTTATAAAACCTTATAACTACCTTGTAAAACCTTTTAAAATACATTGTAAAACCTTACAAAACACTTGTAAATACTCCGTAAAACCTTTAAAATACTTTGTAAATTTTTCCCGCCAAAAAAATTGCGGAATCACTTTTCCCGCAAAAAAAATTTTTTGGCGGGAAAAATTTTTACGGGAAAATTTTACAAGGTATTTTAAAGGTTTTTACAAGTGTTTTGGCGGGAAAATTGCGGGATCACTTTTCCCGCCAAAAAATATTTCATATTTTGTGGACCTAATTTTGTTTCAAATAAGGGTAAAATAGTCATTAAAAATTAAAAGAGGGCAAACTTAAAAATAGACTCTCAAAGAGGGCATTTTTGAAAAAGAGTATTGAAAAAATGGCATTTTTAACAATTTCTCTATATTTTATTTATTAAAAGTATCGTATAAATATACTTGTGTCAGGAGAAACCAAACAAATTAGTGGTATACTTTAGTATTTTCCTAAAGTAGCTAGAGAAGCTTTTTTTGTGTGGTTGTGTATAATAACTCGAAAGGTGATTACTATTAAGATAGTATTATAGTTTATGAGATGATGCTACCAACATAAGAAAAACTTGTAGGAGTACGAATGTTTCGAGATTAATACGAATGTCGCTATATTTAGCATGCCTGTGAGGGGATTAATTATATAAAATTTCTTTATAATTAATAGCTTCTTCGCATTCTATTAATAGACTTTATTTTAAGTCCACATGATTAGCTGAAATACATGTTTCCATTTTGTACAAACGTTTTTCAACAAAGAAAACATTTCAAACGCTATCATTTTTGCGCAGGCATCTTTCGATCTTCTTTTTTTTTTTTTTTTTCTTTTTTTTTTTCTTTCTTTTTTTCGATCTTCTTGCATGTGTGGCCATCAATCATCGTGGTTCAAGAATTAAATTGTTACTCCAAAACTTTGTAAATTACTATATCATTAGGGCATATGCAAGGGTGCATCTTTGAAGTTTGATCTTACAGGAGAAAAAATATTAAAATATTGTAAGAGCTTTAATTAAGATCTTTTGTAAACTAATTGATTATTGGTAGAACATGTTTAGATCATAGGAATTGATTTGAAATTGAAATAATGTAAGATCATTAGTTTACAATTTTAAAAACTTTAAGAAATAACTTTTAAATTGCAAACTTAAAAAACTTATACTAAAATAGATTTGAAAATAAAAAGAAACACAAAATATAATATCAAATTTTTATGAAACAAAAAAGAACATTAAAGATATAAATAAAAAAACAAACAAACAAACATATTATTTAATTAAACCCTAGCATAGATTTCGGATCGAAGGAGAAATGAAATGTTTTTTTCCTTTGCAAAAATTCGTAGCCAATGATGAAGCGCCACGTCACGCTAAAACTGGGCCAAGAACAGTTCTACAACAAGAACAGATCTACAACAGATCTAATACTATTCACAATATTTTCTATTTTTAAAAGGCTAAGAACACCTAAGAGCATCTCCAATGGAGAGCTCTCTCCATGAGACTCTCTCAAAATTTTTATTATAAATTTCTTGAAAATATGAGATGAGAACTTTTAGGTTTTTTTTTAGTTTTTCATAGTCCATTGGTAGGTTCTCTAGTGAGGTTCTCTTAGGAAAATTTTTTTATTAAAAAATATTCTTTCATAAAATTTAATTATTATTGCAATTCATAAAAAAAACATACATTATTTCAAACATTTCTAAAAAGATGTGCAAAAACAAAACCGGAATAACGATTAGTTGTACCGTTGAGTGTTGCGAAATTTTTGCTATATATTGTATCATATAGCATATTATCTGGATTAGCTTAGTTTACATGTCTTTCGTATAAAGTTCGTGTGTTGAAATATTCATATTATTCACTACACAATGAAACTTTCGATTATTTCCAAACCCAAAAAACAAAATCAAACAAACTGTAATATTCAGTATCCTACTGTCAAACGCGGATTTACATTTTTGGTGTTGTGGATTCATGTATCAGCCGCACCATTTGGATTCAAACATGAGTGTGAATTAGAGAAATCGAAAGGTTTTGTCATTGAAACATGGCCAATTGAATTTAAGTTATGGACATGTAACGAGCCAATCACTTTGACCTCACTGTAATAAAAGATGGGAGTCAGCGAGTAGCTGGTAGAGGACGCCAGTTATTGGCTTGGTGTATGACATGACCACGAGAAGTTGCAGAAAGATGTTGGTGTATAACTTCCTTGACGTGAGCAGCAGCTACTTCGCCACCACGTTCAGCGAGTTCTAAGTAAAGTATTGATTTCAGCATTGCCCCTTCCTGCATCATCCCATTACATTCATTAGTTCCATGTCAAACTCTTCTCATAACCTAAAATCCAATCATTATATTTGATACAAACTTAACTGATTTTAGAAAGATGAAAAAGACAGAAACTGAACATTTCCACAAATGATCTAAGCACCCCGTCCCAAACATAGTATATCAGCTTGCACAATTATCTAAGAACATGTCCAAACATAGCATTATCAGTTTCCACAAATGAACTAAGCACATGACTAAACATAGCATTAAGAGTTTCCACCAAGAGTGCAGCCATTAATATAAAGGACTACATACAACTTTCAATCTAGATTATGATATCACCCCATGAAGACAATACAAATTCCAGAGACTACAAGCATAAAGAAATATAACAGATATAAACACTAATAACAGACATAATCGGTAGCTCCAAGAAAAAGCTCAAGTGGACGGTACCAGAGTGTGACAACACGACTAGTCATTGTTTGCTTTTGCTTTGGGTCATAAAACGTAGCCAACCCGAAATCAGCAATCTTTAATATTCCATCATTATCTAGAGACTACACGAAACCCGCGAAGTAACCAAACCTTCAAGCTTAATAACATTAGGATGATTTATTCTATTAACCCTAATTTGTTTATCCGAAACTATGAAGACTAATCAAACATGCAATGACTCAATTAGTCTTCAATCATGCCAAAAAAACAAACACAAACGTCCAAATTGATTCAAATAACAATAATCGATGCTTAGAACTAAGAACCCTAATTTACAGAACATACACCTAATTTGAAAACAATCGAAGAACCCTAATTGACAACATCAAACTACAATATTTAATCATGAAAACCGAGGGAAAAGGACTAGATTTATACCATTAGAAACAAACGGGAGCTTCCTTTATCGATTACTCTCCGATTCCGAAGATATGGATCTCCGATTTGCTTAATCTTCCATCGCCGATGGTAAGCAGCGGCTCTGGGGATGACGAATCCGGCCGAACACACGCTCATACACCATTTTTATCTCTTAAATCTATCCTCAATCGCCGGAATCGTCGGACACAATCACATAGAAGCCATCGCCGAGCTCTCGCCAAAGAAGAGAGAGAGAGAGAGAGTCGGGAAAATAAATTGAAGAAGAGTGAAACGCGAGACCCAATTTTTTTTTCTTTTTGTTAAAAATCGTCAGCCACTCAAACAGAGACACGTGTGCGTCTCTCTTGGGTTCCCAAAACCATCTTCACAGAACCAGCTCTCTCCTCAATTATATTTTCTGATTTAATTTTAATCAGTTTTAGAGAGTTTTTTTTTTTTTTTTTGAACAAAGAGTTTTAGAGAGTTTTAAGAAGAGTTTTAAGGGTTCTCCCTTTAAATATGGCCTTACCTGTATTGAGAAACATATATAAGACAATATTTTTGTTCGTCTAAACCATCACTTGATTTTATTTACTATATATATATATATGAAAGTCTCTAACTCCGGCTACTATCACGTATTTAGAATATATATATATATATATATATATATATTATAAACCATCACTTGTTAATAACCACAAAAACTGTATGAATAAATCATACCAAAAAAAAAAAAAAAAACTCTATGAATAAAAAAAAAAAGAATCGTATTTTTTTTATTTTATTTTTAATGATTTAGAGGTTTTGGGCTTAAACCCGTACATTCTTTTAGACTAGAAATTAGAATATTTTATATAATCTTTTTCTAAGTAAGAAAGTGTGACTTAAACCGTTGATCTTTATATAATTTAGATTTTACTAGTTGAACTATGAATACTTGTTAGAATCTTGTTTCTTCGTATCTGTATCTATGTTTGGTAGTTTCATACGATACTGACCATCCAAAAAGAAAAGTCAAAAAGATCCAAATTCGAGTGTTATAGCAATATATAAGACTTATATAACGTGTTCAGATCTTCGATATAAGAGATTATGAGTCTTATTTTTTTTTGTTAGAGATAAATGTGCCTTTTTAGAAGAACGAACTAAAAATTGAAAAATTAAAAGCACGATACACAATCAAATTCTCCTAACAGAACCAACACAAACTTAAGCCAAATCTCACCAGAGTAAACAAACTCCATCTGGTTTGTAATACATTTTTAAGAGATTCACTATAATACTTAATTTAGTCATATATTTTCACATTTTGGTGTTCATGTTTCGTTCGACACTCTTGGCAGTAGCTTTGATAGAGTCTTTGGTTTCTTCTGTTGCATTCTTCACCTTATCCTTCAAATTTCCGGCAGCGTCTTCACTCCTTCCTCCGCCTTCTTCGCCACCTACACGTCCGGTCCAGTTTTATTCAGTTCAAAACCGTGTTGTCAATATATTTGGTAGCACAAATGACAATTTTATTGTCTAATTTGACATATTATAAATTTTTATAAATCATATTAATGTATAAAGAAAGTAATGACCTTTTCTTCTGCATTGTTGGCTTCATCAGAAACGGAATTCTCCATCCTCGTACTTGTCTTTGATTAAAATTGCAAGAACTTACGAATAACGTTAATTAATTTAAAATGTGATAACTTTAATCAGAAATAAATAAAGATATAATAGTTACGTACGTGGAAGTGTTTTGTCGCGACGGGGAGAAGAACTCTAGGAGTAGGAGTTGCACCTGCGATGGGCATTGTTGCGGAGGAAAGCTGCAATAGATAAACTTGCCATTTTGGGATTCTCTTTTGTCGTCTTCTGTCTAAAGTAATTAAGAATTAGGATTAGTTTGTTAAAATTGTAGTTTTGGTAAATTTATACATTGATAAAAAAAAAAAATGGAGACCGCGAAGGAGCGTGTGAGGGAGACACGTTAAGATTTTGGTGGAGACGTGGCGAGTTTGTCTCATTGTGAGGTTTTCTGTTATGCTTTTGCTAAATTACAGCTGTGTGACCAAATCCTTTTGGTTTTACATGCAATTTTGTTTACCAACAAGTAGAACAATATATTTATGTGGATGCAAATGAAAGCTACATTTTTCAAGTAATGATTCTTAAAACAAATCTCATCATTTACGGACATGAGAAAGTCACATTAATTAACTGACCACCATTAGATGAGCATATGTATCGTTCTTCAAATACATGTCTAAATAGGATTCAATAATAATTCTTCTATACATGTTTTGTTCTTTTTATCAACACAAATAAGATGGTACACAAAATGCTTATACTAGCCCGAGTAGGCCATGATCTAGAGAAGAAGAAGATTATATGCCTTTGACCTTGGTCGTTATAATTTTGTTCCGACCATTTGGATTTTTGAGTATTTATTTATAACTTCTAAATTTTCAACCTAAAGAAAACATTAATGTAAACAAATGAGGGTGGCTTTGATTTGGTGATGAAGTAAATACGTTTCTCATGATTCAGAGGAGTAACACACTTTTAATTGTCAAGTGCTGAAACATATTTACATTTTTAGATTGTGTGAAACATTGTATATGCTCGTTACTAAAATTTTACTCATACTTTGATATTTTAACTGCTTACAAAGAATGTAAATTATGAAAATTAAACTAAGAGATACATACAAAAACAAAGTGGAAGATATTTCTTTTGGTGGACTCAAGAGATAATTTCTTGGATCAAACTGGACAAGATAAGTTTCTCTAAGTCAACTACTACAGCTTGATAAGTTTCATCAATCTGAAACTCACTTCTCCAACCCAAATCCCATACTCCACTTGTCATCTCTGTCTTCTTACCCTTTAAATCCTTCTCCAACACCAAGTGAATGGTCTCTTTAACGAAGCTGTTCTGTCCTGAAAACGTGTCTTTGTAACTTCCCAGAGACTCAAACCCATCACAGACTTCCATTAACACCTCATCAATGTGCAAAGAGCTTCTTGTGTGACACGGTTGTTCTGCTAGTAGAAGGCTTTTGCGTCTGGCTACTTCTTTGGCAAAGTCTAGTGCTAGTCTTTGGTCTGATATCACAATGTTATCTCTATTTCGAAAGTTTGATTCTCGGCTTCGTTTAGTGTTGGTGTTGAAGTCGAAAAGATCCTCTGCGTAGTTGATGAACTCTGAGGAGCTGGATAGGAATGATTTAAGAGAGATTTGGGATGCTTCTGGCTCATGAGAATAGTGAATTGTGGCAGCACAAGATGAAACTTCTCCATTGTCACATTGGCCTTTACAAGAACAAAGTAGAGACTTGTCAAAAGAAACAAACTTTAAGAATATCCTGAGAGTTGAGAACTGTAGTAATAACCTTGATTGTGAAACTCTGAAGAAGTGGTTTCCTCTGTAGAAAGTTGGTTAAGTGATCCAAGCGTGTCCTGTGAAGAGGAATGATTCTCTGAACCAAGGTTGTTGTCTTGTTGACGGAGTTTCTTCTTGGCCTAAGTGAGAAACAGTGTTAATGAAAGTATGTAAAATTAGAAATGAAATTTTATGCATTGAGGCTGTGAGAAAGTTTGCTCACATTTGGTCTACTAGCCTCACCGGACTTCTTTTCTCGGCTACCACTACTAGAGCTTGAGCTCAACCTGCTGGAACGTCGACTCTTGTTTCTTGATACGTCTGAAGGATTGTTCGATTTCTTTTGAGAAGCAGGATTGCTAGGTGGTTTAAGAGCTCGGTCATGAGGTCTATGTCTATCTTTACCTTCAGCAATATCCTCCTTCTTGACAACAAGCTTTTTGTTGGTTTTGTTGGTTTCCAACGGTTTTCGATCTCTTGTTAGAGTTCTGCCATTGCTTGGAGACATTAGCTTGATCACCTTACCTTCATTCTCTTCTCCTTTCCGCACCATTTCTTTCGGTTCTTTGTCTTTCTTGGTCAGACTTAATGGTAATTTCATTTTGTTGCTTCCCTTGGCTTGATGATCTTTTCTCTGGTTAATCATTCTTGGATGAACCTCCCCTTGCATTCTCGGTTTCTTAGGTACAACCGGTCGTTTGCTTCCCGGCTTTTCTTCCATCTCGGGTTGTACAACACGCATAGGTCTGATGAGTACTATAGTCGAGGGATTCTCTCTCGGAATCTCTTCAGGCAAAGATTGTAAAACAGTTTCTCTCATAGAGTTGCATCTCACAATTTCGGGACTCTCCTTATTATTCTTCTTCACCTTCTCTTGTCTTTCTGATGACAGCTTTAAAATATCCGGCTTATCGATATGATTCACCGTGCTTTTGCTCGGTTCTTGAGTTGATACATCCAAACCCATAAGCCTAGCAATCAAACTTGGAGCTCTCCGTGGAATATCAGACGAAGCAGAGGACTTTGTAGAGCCAGAAACCATAGAAGATTGGCTCGAGCTAGTTGACGACGATGCAGCTCCAGAAGAAGAAGCAAAATCATTTCTAACAACTCGAGTCTTAATCCCTGTAGTAGTTGTTTGTGAAACAAGATTCTGCCTAAGAAAGCTCTCTCTAATCACTTTCCTTAACTCTTCATAACAATCCTTAGATGCTACACTCTCTTGAACCATCATCCGTTTCTCAACCCGCTCTCCGAATCTATCCGACATCGATCTTTGAAACCGCAAATCGCTTCTTCCGTCTTTACAAATCCTCGGTTTCTGCTTACTATCATCTTCTTGAATACTACTTAACATAGCTAAAGACTCTTCCAAATCAAGTGCTCCTCTTAACAAATCTTTCGCTATATCCTCAGGCCTCGACACTGCCTCAAAGCTAAACCCTTTAGACCAAGACTCAATCGCACCATTCAGTTTCTGAATCCCTTTAGATACTCTCAAAAGCTGAAACGAAGAAGGAGGAACATCCTCGGTATTACTCTTCCTAGGCGCCACCGCCATTTCAGACCGCTCTTTCGCTTTCGAAAGATGTTCTTCACATCTCTGTTTAGTACTACTACTACGACTCTTACTCTGTTTCTTAATAGCTCCACATTCAACAACATCTCTTGGATCATCACACATTATGAATGATCTATAAACTCCTGATCTCAATTTCCCTTCAGGCATTGTAACTTTCTCTGCAACATAAAAGGTCAAACTTAATTCGATCTCAAAACATTGCAGGATCTTCAAGAACAGATCAAACCCTAGTTCTGAATTTTCGATCTAAGACAAAAATCAGATTTTTATAATTTCTCATAAATCAGAACTAAAGTGAAACATTTAAACACAAAATTTCAAGAAGAAAAATCTAAAAAAC